GCGATTAAATTTATATTTATAGATTATAAGGTCATGCCGCGATTGGAAATGCCGATTTACTGGAATAGGAAGACATGCGAGTTCTTGCGACTTTATAATAATAATTAATATAGATGCATTATTGTCGTCGTTACGACCAATACGACGGGTATGGATGAACGATTTCTATTCTGAATTCTGATATCCTGGTAATCTGACCACTATGGTCACACTATGTTCGGAAAGACAATTATGTAAAAATAACAAATATGATAATAGAAATTTTAAAATATATTTTAATTTTTTAACCCAATTATTTGAGCCTTGGGTATTTGAATAATAATAAAAATAATATTTTTTAATGTAATGGGGTGGCCATCAGGGTGGCCTGTAAACATTTTGGGTGGCCGGGCCATCTCGGGCCACCCCTTAGCTACGTGCCTGTATAGAAATTGATAAAATAAATAGGTATATGGTCTAAGTTTCAAGATTCTACAGTCATTCGTTTTTGAATAACAACAAAATAAGAATATTTTAAAAGAGAAATAATTGATTATCCATTGTTGTAATTCAAATGCTCATAAAAATGTAATTTGACTTTCCGGTAGACATTTTTTATTTGATAAAAGTAGAGAMACTCATTAAGAATCTTATATTGAATTTTCAAATCTTACATTTAAAAAGATAAATTTTTATGAATTTCTATCTCAAAATAAATTGCAAATTTTCGTGATTTTTACATATTTTGTTAAAATTCGTACTTTAAATGCTTATTAAAAAAAAAAAATGTGACAATGTATTTTTAATATTTTTAACTAAAATTGTGACAATAGATAAGGAGCTTTGTATTAAATTTTGAACTTTTTTACTCAACAAATTAAATTTTATTGTCATTTAAAAAAAAAATACTAAAAAGATCGAATATTTCAAATTTCTACAAATAACTTAAAAATATTTGAAATATTTTGAAAATTTTATTCTGCAGTATAAAAAATATGTCAGTATAAACATTGAGTGAATATTTTATGTGTCTACGGTAATTTGTTTTAGAGTTACATCAATATCTAAATTGAATTTTCTCAAAAATTGATTTTGCGTAAAAATTCCAGTTTATCCTTAATATTTTTTTGTTTTTCCCARTGCTTTAGAAAACTACTTGGAATTTCAAAATTTGACCTCTTTTGTGCACCAACTAGATTCACTTTTCTACCGAAAAAGCTACTGAAGTTGAAAATCGAAGCATTATTTTGACAACTTATCGACTATCGTGTCACACAGACACAAAAAAAAATTTTATAAAAAAGTACACATCATTATAAAATCAATACATTCATCGCTCTGCTCAGAATCTAAAATGGCGCCGACAGACGCGATGATTTCGAAAATCCCGCGATCAATTTATAGGTTTATTTGCAACCTGTAGTCGTGTAGATAGCATAGCGGTCGCCCACCGCACCGGGGACTTGACGTGACGCTGGCGTCCCCGTTGGTCACGTCTGGTCACGGGAAGCCGGGAAACGGACGAACCAGGCAACCCAGCAACGGCCAACGGTTTATTAGTTTATTACTTGTAACGCTCGTTGCTCGCAGTCGCGCCTCACACCGTTTACCTGTAATGAGTTGGTTGTGGGCGCCGCGTGTTCGTTGGATATAGTGCGATTTGTTATCACCGTAAATCAGCAGCCACCGGTCGATCGTATCGTTTTCATAGGTATTGTTTAGCTGCACGAAAACGGATTTCAAATTCCGTCCACTTAGTTTTTTTTTAAACATTTTTTTTTTAGTCCATTGTAAAAAAATAGATTTAACCGTTATCAATTTATCATCCGTGGTGTGGATTTCAAGTGATAGTGGTAAACAATAATAATAAAAAAGCAACACATTTTCGGGCGGGTCTGCGAGGCGCGAGCGCATCCTGTGATAAGAGATAAAGCTGTACAAGCCTCATCCGCGGCCGGTTGTCATTTCGTAACGCAATTTAATGATCAGTGTTAATAATTATTAAAAAAAAAAATGCTTTATATATTTTCGGCGTTTTTAGTAAATATTTTTCCTTTAATGCGTTTCTGTTGAGCGACCGCGCTTAGTGTGCCGATCACCGTCTCTGAAGTAGTAATCTCGTCCCCCGCACCTGTTTTAGTTGAACCGGTTTGAATGTGTGCCCGYCGAATTCATTTTTTCAAACAACTCAAGTGATCCTAACGACGACGACCACCATAATAAAAAATTGCCGCGTCGCTGAACCGTCTTCATCGTACAACTGCGGTCAATGGACGCGTGAACTAAACGACCACCGTGTGCTCAGGCACATAGCCACGAGATAATGTMCACGACGCCGTTCGTGGTCAAGCACGATGGGAAGAAGCACAACATTGAACACTTTTTGCGCTTCCATCCAGGTGGTACCAATACATTGTCATTTCTGAAGAACGCAGATGTCACTGAACGGCTGTTTGCCACTCACCACTCTGCTGCTGCATATGAATTGCTCAAGGATTATAGAGTAGATGAGGAAGATGTACACAAACACATTAGAGAGGATGGCGATCTAGAAGTAAGTGATAAATATGTTTACAAAATGTATTGTAGGCAGTATGGCATTTACTTCCATACAAATTTCATAATATTTCCTTAGGTGCATTGATATATACATATAAATAATTTGATTCCAAGGTAAATTCCATATTTAAAAGAAAAAAACCTAGGTTGGTATTAATCGGTAATAATAGTTTGAATAAATATATTTTTAGTTAATTATATAAGTATATTCTCTATAGACTTTAGATTTAATTTTTGATAGGTAGGTATAACAGATAGACAATGATCATGTTCAATGTTCATATTAGCAACTATATTTTATGCATTGAATATGTTAGTGATTACCTGTGCTATGAGTTGAAATTAAAAAAAAAAAATTATCAAATCAATTTAGTGTCATTGCTGTTTATAATAGGTTAACCCATTGGCCATTCATCTATTTAAATGTACCTATATCATTACACAATGTTAGGCAATTGGTTAAATTATTGAAGTTTTATTTTCAGGCATTACCTATCTACTTAGTACCTATCATTAAATAAATTAAATTTTTCAATTATTTTAATAGATTTATTAATGAAGTTTATATAGATAWTTATCACCTTGGTTATAATGATAAAGTAATTGTAAAACTTTTCTTTTTGTTTAAAAAATTAAAAATTATTATAAGTAGATAAGCACTAGGTAGGGTCAGGAATTAAACAACTTAAACAAACTCAAAAAATACACAAAAAAAAATGTTTTCGAGTTTTAAAAATGCAATATAATGCATATATAAATTGTAGGTTTCAAATGTTGGTTTTAAAATAATTTTAAAACAAGTTTTGTTCAAAAATTTTTTTTTTAATCTTTAAGTAAAAATGTTGATACCAAATCTCATATTTTTGACATTAACTTTTAATCTAAACAAAAAAATAACTACTGCCACTCATCGATTTTATAATTTACAYATAGGTACCTAGACAGATTATTATAGGGAAAATTGCAGTGATTCATAAATCTATATCTAGTCATTTGGTTTCTCAATTTAATGTTGTATGGATATGTTCAAAAGATTACCAGTCTGGTAAATATAGTTAATTATAATATTATATTGTTTGTTATACTATTGAAAAAT